ATTAGATAATCTGATTTGAGAAAGCAGTCTATCAATAGACGCCGATTTTTTCTCTTGTACTCTTTATCGATTCATCTTCCACGATTAAGACACAACTCAATAGAGACTATTCACATTTAACGAAGCACTTTTATATTTGTACAAAGTATTGAGTATATAATCTATTGCACAGGGACTCTTATCCCTAATCTTTATATGCATTATTCAAATACCTAGACTATATATTAATATTTACATTGCAAAGCTGTAATGAGAAAAGTTCGGAGATTTTAACTTAACTCAATGTCGCATCGTCCTGTCGTAACTTCTTCCCGCCCCGCTTTGCCCCACCGTAAATTTTCCTTGTCCCGCCTCGTTTCGGCCTCTGATACACGAGCTTCCATTATGACTAAAGACTATGTTTAAAGTAAAAGGAAAAGTAGTAACGTTTGTTTTTTCCTATTCAGATAAAATGAACGCTTATCGTCAAAAAAAGAACTATTTGTCAATAATTTAAATGGCATAAATCTTTATGAAACAAGTTCTGTAATTAATTATAAGTGCATGGGCAACATATTTTTTACGTCAAATATTAAAATCATTAATGCTATTATCTAGTATTCAAAGTTTCTCAATATTTAATTTATTTTATAAAAACAAATTTATTAATAAAATCTATTCAAACAAATAATAAATCATATTCTCGTATAATTGAATTGTTTCATGGTCAGATATTAATTGCAACATGTATATGTATTCTTTCAGTTGATTTTTCAATATATCCAATGGTATTCATTGGAATTCTTTTCAACATCGCGTTTTATGTAATTAGTTGGATATTATTAATTAAAACTAATAACACATATTTTCAATTTGATAAGTATTTAATACTATCAAATAATTTACAACAAAATTTTATTGATGCTAATCGTGAAGGAATATTTTCATTAGATGAATATGTTTGTTTATATTTAATTGAAATTTCTATCGGAAAATTTATAATTAATAATGAATATAAACAAAAATTTAAATAAATGATAATTACTTTTTTTTATTCTCATGATTATATTATGTACGATAAGTTATAATCCATCAAGAAAAGGTTATTTAACTGAATTAATTTTAATTAAAAATGCTAATAAAAAAAAAGTTTAGATACATTTTTATTTGTTAATAAATTAACAGAAATAATTAATTTAAATATAAATATGTTTATTGTTATAATATGTTCATATATTTCTCCATCATTAATTAAACTACTAATTGTGAGATATTTAAAATTATCGAAATATTAAAATGTGATTAGTCTTTGTATAAAAAATTCGAATAACTTTGTTTCTTTTTCTTTAAAAAAGTTTTAACTCTAAAAGACACTTCAATAATATCAATTATTTTAAGATTTTTTAGACGAATGTGCAGTGTTGTACATGGAACATATTTTGAGATCAAGTCGATACCAGTTTTATATCAGATGATGAGAATCTGTCCGACCTGGGCCTCAATATTCCGAATGAAATTTTCCTGAAAAAATTTTATCAATCAGTTTGTCATTGGCTTTATACGTCAAAGTATGATTTATTCGGGAAAGTTTTAAATGAATTAATAGTACTTTCTTACACAACTTATTATTGATCTAAGAAATATTTACAAGAGAAAAATCAAAATGTTAGAATTAACTTGATGCCTGTGTGAAACTGACAGATCCACATCTTAGCTATACTAGATATTGCTAATTGGATAAAAAGAATTCAACTGTAGCAACTGATAATTTTAAAATTTCACATGCTGTAGATTCATAATGAAAAAGAAAGTCAGTTCAATGATAAATAATGTGGATTGAAGTTTATTGAGTCTGTCAACTTGACTATACACTAGCATGTACTATGTTTTATTTTCTTGATCGACATTGTCTCAGGAGAATTAAGTTGATCATAATAATGAGACAACAGAATAGTCAAGCTAGTTCAATAACTTCTTTCGTGTTATTTAATTTCTTTTCTATATGCTACGGCAACCACAGATATTTAAAAGAATTACTAAGCAATTCATAATACCATAAACTAGGATGTAATAAAGTGGAATAGTGTTTGAATTTTATTTATTTCATCACGTATGACTATATTAAAAGAATTTACAATAGGAGAATGTTCTAACATAGATAAAGTAATATTAAAGCCAGATTTGAATCCATTTGGAAGAACATTGTAGTCGATAAGGTCGACTAAGTGACCATTCATACAGTTGTCGTCGGAGTAAATGTGAGAAACAGAGTGTTTCAGATGAAACTCGATAGTGAAAAGATATATGAAGCGAAACAAGTTGTTGCAAATGATTAACAAGAAAATGAATAGCATTAACAAAACGTTTTACAGATTTATTTTCATCATCTACACTATCTAATGGTATCCGAGTGTCAGTGTGACCCGACTTAGCAATAGAAAAGGAAAGTTCTTCTAGATTAGGTAATCGACTGCAGAGTGATTCACAAAAGCGTTGAATATTAACCATTTTCAATGTATCATCAATCGTACAAAGTGATTGAATCTAATATTGAATATCAATATAAACAGAAGTACTGACTTGTTGGTTAACATGGATTCCGACTTGATCGGTATTATGAAGTATCATTCGAGTTAGAAGACCTATATCATCAATCAATACTAATGCATCTACATTATAAGCTAATCGTAATATGGCTTCTAATTGAGCAGCATTAACGGAATAGCTCCAATCAATAGTAATTTGTTTAAATAATGGCCACGGAACTAATGATGATAGAGAACTTCCACAATTACCAAGTTCTGTAAAGCATTCGTTGCATTGATGATCGCCGCTAATATATAATTCATCAGAACGTAGAAACAAATATTCACTTGTAACCTTCATTGGACAAGGTCTGATAAATAAAAATAAGAAAGTATCTCTAAAGATTCTTCTATGAAGTAAATAACTTCTATTAAACATATGTTTAAAGATATTCATAAATAATTTACTGTCCAAATTGAGTATCAGTGTAGGGTAATGTGTACACGACAAAACAATATGTATCGTGACCATTACTTATAGAAAAATTATTTCGGATAAACACTTTTCGGCGTTGTTGATTAATAAATGGAGCGTTGGCAAATAAATTAAAAATTACTTTATCTTTCATATCATTGATGACATCGAATGTCAAATTAAGAGCAAAGGTTGCAGATGAATTGAGATGATCAATGCATAATTTTTGAACCATGTCACCTGATGTAATCAATGGATCAGATATTGACGAATAAGCTCTTAATTTTAGTGACAGGTAAATGAGATGACCAAATACAGATGAAAAAAGTGCAATCGTTCTATGGAAACTTATCTTATTGAAACAGATCAAGCTAAGACGAGATAGTCGACATAAACGATAAGCATCAGCAGGAGTTGGTAATCTAAAAAGTTTTATTTTATTAATATTTTTTAATAAGTCATACTATATTAATTACTTGTAAATATCAAAATTATTCTCATGGTTTATTTCTTCATCTTGTATCCCAACAGATAGATTTCTAATAGAAGGAATACATTTTAATAAACGTTGTAGAAAGGCTAATGTATTTATGCCGATGACCAATGAATGAAAATGATTTGTATTTGATAAATTTGGTAAAGTCATCAAATGTGGTGTTCAAGATGTTGGTAATGCTTTGTGAGTTCTAGGACAAAAATCACATGGAAGTCGACAATTGGTTAAGTTAGGAAGACATGAACACACCTTTTATCAAGATTAAAGAAACACTTCTACAGATTTAATAATAAATTCAAGTAAACATTGTTTCCTTACTTTAGCAAGACATGTTCCTTCTATTTCTTGGTCCACCAATCACATTAGTTAAGATGATGCGTAATAAAATAACTCGATGTCCTAATCGTTTTAATACATTTTGACATAAATTATTGAACGTTGATAATGATATTCTATTACCACCAATATGAATATGCCATAAATATTCATACATAATTATGCTTGAAAGATAATTATTTAACGATAAAAATGATTGAAGAATTTCAACAGCAGACAAATAAGAAAATATTTCGAAAATAACATCAACAGGTAACAATTCAAACGTATTCACCATCATTCTGTTCGTGTTTTCTTTAACATTCATATTGGGCTCAATACATATTCACGTAGACAATAATATTCGTCCGTCAGTTTTGTTTGATCTGCGTATTAGGGTCAATAAAAGAAAAGAAAACAAATACTTTTTTTCAAATTTAATTATTGCTTTGAAACGAAAGTTAAGAAAAAAATCTCAAAATCAATGGTTTTTGATACAATATAAAGGATCGACGATGTACTCTACGTTTGGTGCTATCTTTTGTCTCTGATTAAGGCTCATTGAGACTATATTTAATTAGAATGTTAACTTAAAAATTCTAAATTATTGGTGCAATTTACAAGTGTAACGAAAATGAGAGAAATAGGATGATGTTTTTTCTATAATACGAAAGATAACTAAGATGCAACAAAACATCGATCGTGAATTTTAGGTCGCTGATGAGGGACTTCCTAAAGCTTTTGATTTGTCTAATAAACAGACTGTCGCTTGACTATCATTCGTTAAGCTTTGTCTTCTTAAATATTAAACAGGTCTTCGTAGATTCTTTTTTTATTCACTTACCTATTGATATCTATCAAGGAAAATAAAATCGTCTTAGTTCTCATTTATATCGAAATAATCGAGAAACAAATAACATGATGAATAATGAAGAAAGAATAGTTCTCTGGATGTTTTCCAGATTTCTTTTTCTCAATAGGCCAAATCGTAGCATTTTTATTGTCACGAAAATCAAATAATCGATGAAATTGTAATATGATTGTCACCAAGTCGAAGCACATCTCACAAGTAGTTTCAAATAGTTATTTAACAGCTTTATAAATTCAATTTCATCAAATATTTATGAGGCCTACGAAAAAATGTAGTTTACTCCATTTGATGAATAAAATTTATTGTCATCAAGATGATCGAATGAAGAATATTCGTACAAAGAGTCTCAACATAGCCTTTTGTATTTGAGTTGTTCATAATAAATTGTAAACAGGAATATGATTTTGTAAGAAAAGGTATTTGAGATGGCACCTACTCAGACAGATATTGCAACGGTGAAATAGCATTAAAATGATATCTTTTAAATCATTCTTCTTTAATTCGAAGTAATAATTTTAACGCTTTACAAAAACATTCTTCATTTGTAACACTTTTTCATTAACTATTTTTCTTATTTTTTGAATCATTTTAATGCCACTTCATCGTTACAATATTTGTGTACGAATATTTTCAATCGATTTTAATTTTAATTTACAGAACAGAACAAGTATTGAGGTATTTGAATCATTTTCCCAAGTGAATGAAGTACGATCGCTCCGTTCGAAAAACTCCGGAAACGATCACCGAATTCTTGCTTTCAAGTTCCTACCATATTTGGCCGTGAACAACCGTTCATTTGATACACCCGATTAATAATGATTGATTCTTAGTACGACGAATGTACCTTCACAACTACGAACTGATCATTAACATAAATTTTATGTAGGCAAGACAAACGACGAACCTGGCTCATTGCCGCCTGGTTGGTCAATAACTTATGCTCTGTGTGAGCGAAAATTTTTCATTGATCATGCTAATAAACAAACTACTTGGATATGTTCGATTAAAAATCTTTTCTTTTTTGAATTCTATATTTTCACTTCTATGTATGCATGTCAAGATTGATCCACGAACTAACAAACCGAGTCTGGAACTGATTTGCCATTCAGAAATTGTAAAAATTGGACCATTACCAGTAAGAGAATGAGCTTTTCGAATTGGTGGAGAATTACTAATTTT